GCAGGAGTCGAGATATTTGTAAAACCCGCATTTATAGTCCGATATGGTTCATATTTAGAACATATATTACTTGCGTGAAAAGAAATAAATCCGCAAAAAAAAATTGCTGATAGGTGGCGCAGGAGTCGAGATATTTGTAAAACCCGCATTTATAGTCCGATATGGTTCATATTTAGAACATATATTACTTGCGTGAAAAGAAATAAATCCGCAAAAAAAAATTGCTGATAGGTGGCGCAGGAGTCGAGATATTTGGAAAATCCGTATTTATGATCCGATTAAGTTCACATTTCGAATGCATATTGCTTACACGAAAAGAAATACACAAAAAATTTTGGCAGTTATGTGCGGCGCGAGTCTATATAATTAAAAAATCGGCATCTGTGCTCCGATTTGGTTTATATTCAGAATATATGTATTACCTATTTAATTGAAATGCATTGAAAATTTTGTTTGTTAAGGTCAAATCTAGCACGTTAGGTAAAAAGTGTAGCTAAAAAACGGTGTGGAAAATTTTCTTCGCATTGAAAGAAATGGACAGAATGTGAAATATACAGACAGTATAATATTAATTGCAAGATTTCAAAAAACTAAAAAGTAGAAAATAAAATTATAGTTCAAAAACTAAAAACACGCTTTTATTACAACAAGAAGTTTTTTACAGATATCGCATCGAAAATTATGTCAATATGCTGCAACTAACTTTACAGTGGACTTTATTTTGCCTATGGCTACGGGCCAATCACTTAAATCCTATTTTTAGCTAATTTAAAAAAGTTAAATTGAATCAATTTAGGGAACTTCCTATTCTTCTTAAACGGAATCGCTATATTTATAAATTATTTTATACTTTTTAGTTCTTGTTGTAATAAAAGCGTGTTTTTAGTTTTTTAACTATAATTTTAGTTAATTATTCGATAAGCAGGGAATTTTCACTTGTACAGATTTGTCCATTTTGGTACTTGCAGTTAACGTTGTTTGGAGCTCGACTTATTCTCGATAAAAAATTCTTCAAGTGTACAAATCGCCTGATACCAGCTTACGTCTTAGGGCTGGTTGTGTCTGATTAGCACTAATCGGAGGTAGAAGATCCGGTTAAATACAATGACTGCTTTATCGATCACATGTTATATGCATGATGTCGAAAACGTCGATAATGATGTTTAACCGGCATCGGTTAACATCGCTATCTATGTCTACGCTTATAACACGACGTCGGTAACGTCGATAACGATGTTTAACCGGGGATTAGTGTCAACTAGGCTTTGAGCAGCCGGCCCTAAACATAGTAACCGACGTTACCGGCTCCCTGTTGTATGCATGGAGTCGAAGACGTCGATAACGATGTTTAAACGCAGATTAGTGTTATAGCCCAGTTATGCATTCTTGCACTGCTATACCATTTTTACGTAAAAATCAAAACCCAACAGAATTCTACATGTTAATTGCTATGCGTTGGGTAACCGATTACACGCAAAGCCCGCTTAACACATTCTTATGTGACAACCCTCATGCAAAGCTAACTTCGGTTTGCTCAAAGCCTGGTTGACACTAATCATCAGTTTAACATCGTTATCGACTCCATGTATATAACACGGTTTTGGCAGCGTCGATAACGATGTTTACTCGGGGATTAGTGTCAACCAGGCTTTGAGCAACCGGCCCTAAGTATGCATAATTGGGCTATTAACCAGACATTGAGTAACCGGCCCTATGGCCCCTACTATGAGTTGCATTTGATGTTGTTGTAGAGGTTAATATCTCAGTCGTTGTCGTCAAGATGTTTCGAGTCTCCGCATGCCGGACACTCATTTGGTACATCTGCGTTCAATCTGCTCAGGTATGTGTTTAACCTGCTGCAGTAGCCAGAGCGAAGTTGGGCTATTGTGGTTCTAGTCTCCCACTGCAAATGAAGCTACGTGTCGTCAATGTCCGGTGGTTGTGTGGATGCGTTCAGAGCCTCTCGATAGGCTGACGGGTCCAGAGGTTGTTTAATGAGCCTCTGGACCTCGTCCGTCAGTTCGTAGACATGCCTCCTGACGTGCCTGAGCGAGGGCACTTCTGCAAGCAGTTGCTCATTCGGGTGACCACGTCTATGGCTCCCAACGAGGAACTCCTTGCAGAGCATTGCATTGTGCTCCTTGATCGGGAGCAATTTCGCCTCGTCGTGTAGGTGGTGTTAAAGCGACATCAGAGGGCATCCAGTCGCTGTCCTTAGTGCGGTGTTTTGCGTCGTCTGCAGCTTCATCCACTGCGTCCTACTAGTCCCCGGCGACCCCACTGGTGCTGCGTAATTTAAAACCGGCCAGCCTATTGCCTTGTATGTTGCAACGTTTCTTTGTCTTTGCCCCAAGTACTGCTGGCTAGCGACTTGAGGACCTTGCTGCGGCTCTGTACTTTGTTGACAATAGCGGTTGCGTGCGCAGAGAAGGAGAGCGGACTGTCGAAGGTTACTCCCGAGTATTTTGGGGTTATTCACCGTCGGAACTGGTGTATCATCGACGTGAATTCCCAGCGGTAGCCTGACGTTCTTCGTCCAGGTAGTGAACAAGGTCGCAGAGGATTTTGGAGGGGAGAGGGTTAGGCTTCTTGCAGTGAAGAAGCGAGAAAGTTCGGAGAGATACCCATTTACTTTCGAACACAAGTTATCAATTCCATTCCCAGACGCCATGATCGAGCAATCGTCGGCGTAAGAGACAATCGAGACTCCCTCTGGTGGTTGAGGGAGCTTTGAAATGTAAAACAGGCCCCTATTATGAGTTGCATTCGATCTTCGACTGTTGTCGAAAGTGCTGATCGAACGAATTTTCATTTGGTATTATGGCGCTCATTCGATGAAGAATAGCGCTATTGTGATTTTCGCTCGTTTAGGTTGTTCACAATAGTATATTTTTCACCGCTGATAAGCTTTGTTTACAAAAGCATGGTAAAAATAAATTTTAATTAGCACAACGGAGGTCTGGTTGAACGATTCGTCAGAGGATGAGGGCTTAGAAAACTGGCCAGGAGCAGAAAACGTGAGAGTTTCGAATATATTTTGACATACAATATATTTAAGAAATTTTGTGATCCAAACCTATTTAAAAAAGATTAAAACTATACACAGCTCCATGATTTTGTTTTCAGAGATCGTGCCAACAGCGTATAGGGATTTTCTTTCATATGTAAAATCAGACTTTCGAGCTTGTGTTTACTATTCACGACGTTAGAACTGATTGAAATTAATACAAATTGTTTAAAATTAGTGTCGAGCCGCCAAAACGTAAGAAAACAAATGCAAAATCATACATCTTTAAAATTTTCTAGCACTTCGCTACACCAACGAAAGCAAAATTGTGTTCGACAGAAAATTCGATACTCATCGAAAATTTCGACACGCTTGCATAGCTCATAATACGAATTTCACTTTCGATCTTCGATAGCCAGCGAAGATCGAAAATCGAATGCAACTCATAATAGGGGCCACAGTAGTGAGGAAAGGACACCCCCCTGTGGAACCCCCTGTTTTATTTTACTGAGTTTGCTGGATTTGTGTCTAAACATTACCGACGAGTGTCGACCTGTCAGGTAATTGGCCGACTACCGTTTGAGTCCCTGTGGGAGAGAGGAGGTCTCTATGTCTTCTAGCAGCGTTGAATGACTGACAGTGTCGAACGCCTTGGACAGGTCCAACTCTACTAGAATAGTTCTCTCACAGGGGCGGTTTCGGTTAAGGCCACGAGTTATCTGAGTGTTTATGGCGTTAAGTGCTGTTGTTGTACTATGCACTTTACGGAAACCATGATGATGCTTCGCTGGGGTCAGGTGGTTTGTGAAATACGGGAGCAGCAAGGCCTCGAGTATCTTCGCTACCAGGGAAAGGAGTGTTATCGGCCGATACGAGTGTCCTTTGTTGGCAGGTTTCCCCGGTTTGAGCAGTGGGACCACTCTCCCCACCTTCCAGATGTCTGGGATGATGAGGGTGGCCATAGACAAATTGAGGACCTCCGTTAGGTACGCTACTCCCGCAGGACCCAAATTTTTCAGCATCAACATGCATATTCCGTCGGGTCCAATGGCTTTGGAGGCTTTCGCCTTCCCGATGGCTACCCTTACCTCTCCTCTGGTGAAAACAAAAGACGCACTGAGTTTTGGCATTTTGTGCAGCCTTCTGGTCACTCGACGTTTGGCTTTATCCCCCGGAGGATGCAGAATAAACTGCCCGCTAAAATAGCTCGCGCATCGCTCGGTCCGACGAAGCGTGGTCACCAAAGTCTATTTCGACTCTGTCGTCGAAACTGTTGGTCCCTCCGCTTTGTGTGACAACATCAAGGCGCACGCCACAAGTCGGAGGAGAAGCTCGGCCAAACATTAACATATGTGTAAACGCCAATCTATTGTTATTATATTATTAATATACGTTCTAAATATTAAACAAATCGGACTATAAATACGGATTCTCCAAATATGCCGAAATAGTTCAGTTATTCCTTGTCAACCATATCGGCCCTTAAATACGGGGTTTTCAATTATCGCGAAACCTGCGCCACATAGAGCATTAATGCGTCTTTCATATTGCATTATAAGGCAGAGGCCAAGCAATGGGCGGCTGAGCGGCGCCATACAGAAATGCCGCTCATTGCGTGGTCATTTCAATAATATTTCATAAGTTTTAGTTTTAAGCCGCTCACCGCTTTGCCGCTCATTGCATGGCCTGGGCCTAATCGGGTTCTGAGCTAAGTTTGACGTTTCAGGTCTTTAGATCATTGTTGGTTGAAAATTTATTGCAAGATTTGATTACACAAAGGTGATGAAAGCTTTTAAAAATACAACATTCAAATCCACCGTACTGTTTTCAAATCGTAATTTTGAAAGCTATTTTTTGGTCAAAATAATAAAAGACAGAATTTTAAAAGGCATGCAGGAATTATAATCTCCGATGAGAGGCGATTCTTTCTAATGGTATATTTAAGAAAATGCATACATTTTATTTACTTTAAACTTTATAAAAACACAGTGCATTTGCTAAACTGTTTAAGAGTAAAAGGATCTATTTTATTCAATCTATTGGCAGGAACATGAAATTGCTGCTTTGCCTATCTTTTGCTTTTAATCGTCGATTTGCCTATCTTTTTTTAAGTTTTGTTTCTAAATTTTAAAGAAATTACTTGCTTATTGAGTCGTCGAACTACCGCTTTGCATTGACGCCTTTACAAGGGGTTATATAGATGCCCTATTTTTACATCGAAGGGTATACCCTTCCTGAAACATTAATTTCTTAATTTCATTTAAATTCGTATTTATGTAGATATTCTCGCCGCTTTTTTCTTTACAATTTGGCACGAGTTTTTAATCCAATGTTATCGGTCAAACCACAACTTTCAAGATGCTTTACTAGGCACTCTAGATATTCCTCCCTATGTCTAATGAGATGTGCTGCATGCTGTGAACGCTCCCAACACTTGAATGTAACTTTGATATTGGCACGTTCCCAATTTTCGCGTACAGCTTGGTTGGATGAAGGTGGACCAATAGGATCATTTTCCGATACGAAAAACAATGCTGGCTGCTTAATTAGCGTAGAATGAAACATTTGGCTGGATCTCATGTAATGAACTGAAGCTTGGTTGTGGAATGTTTTCATGTGATATCTATTTGGAAGAATTTTGAAATCAAAAGGATTGCAGTGCTGTCATGTCTGAATAACTCACAGGATATAGTTGCGTAGTGCGCTTTGCATGCGGGAATTTTTGGGAAATATCGATTTAGGCACTCCGATTGGAATTTCTGTAATATCAGCAGCGCTGTCCCAAATTTGGCAAACAATCCTATCCAATACTTGTGTGTAGCTGGCCAAATAAAATTAGAGCAATTAAATGATTCAATTTGGCAAACTGGTCTCTTAGGATATTATAGATCCAGTAATATAATTTTGATTATGATTGATGTGATCATTTTTCACAAAATTCGATAATTTTAAACATATGTACACTTAACTTTTACTTATGTATGTAGTTAAAAATAATATTTAAATATTTTCTTTTTTAGTCAATTCATTTAGATTTAGAAATTTTACATGCAGTGTAGAGGGCAGCTTTAACAATAAATTTATAAAATACCTAACAATTTTATTTACCGTTCCATATCGCGTGCCATCTGTATCATTACTTCACCGAGTTGATAAGCCCCCACTGAAAACCCGTGAATAACAATTGGCGCATATGACTTGTTGTTTTCTATAAATTTAAGCGTTTCTGCAGCTACAACCTAAAGCAAATAGTAAGTCAATTTAAAAGTTATAAACACCCTATAGTATACATAGAGAAGAGCTCATACATACCCAGCTAGGATAATTGCCAGACTCGTCGACAAAAAAAGTCAGAAATCTATATGATTTTGGCCGATATCGGTCAGAGAAGGCATATGGAGAGGTTAACAGGAAGTCTAACCGACACGACGTGGGAAATTCTGACTTAATTACCGACGAATCTGACGGATATCTAACAGATGTCTGACCAAATAATTATGGAAAATAGGAATTATTAGACATGTATGCCCGAAATCGCACATAATTCAATCATATCGGATAAGGAAATAAATAAAATTCATCAGACACTTCGCCCAGAAATCTGTTCGAAACCTGTAAACCTTTCTAAATAGTTAACTTTTTATTCCGACTTGACTGATCAGAAATTGTCTGGCAAATGTGCTAGCTGGGTATGTTTCATGAGTATATTAATACTTTAAAATAGATACATATGCCATTTATCGTATTAATAAATAATTAATAAGCTAGAATTTATCTTTTAAATGAGTTTAGAGTAGAAAATAATACCTGCGTCCCCTTAACTGGCCAAAGAAGCTGCCACGGGGTTACATGTACGACGACAACATCGAATCCCATATCTGTGTAAATTTGAGTATATTTCTTCAAATGTTTTTGCTTTGCCATTAGCCACGCCATCATTAACACAAGTGGATTTTCAGAAGGCTTCTTGAATCTAGATGAAAGGCAAATCGCTATTATTTTTTTAAATTTCAATTTCATAAATTCATCTCACTAACTCCAAAGTCTTTGGATCCAATTCGCTTTTGAATGGTTCATTAGTGAAGAGTGTAATATTTTTAGTGATCTCTTTGGTTGAAAGCATACGCCGATTATTCCAAAAAGTCTTTTTCATCTGCACATTGTTGAAATTTAAAAATTGTCAAATGCAATATAATTATAATTAGATCTGAAACTTGGTATAAAATTGGCCAAACAATGGACATAATGTGATTATTTTAAAAGATTAAGAAAACATGCATATGGACGGTAAAGCATACACAACGACCAATGAATGGCATTCTCACGACAGCCGGTTCTACGTACCGGAATGACTCCTGTTTTACCCGACCAAGGGCTGCTGTTTCGGCGATCTAAACCCGTTTAGGTCGGTGAAATATCTCAAACGTTGTTCGGCCATAGGGCTACATGTGCTACGTATTCTTCTGCTCAGGGCTGCCATTGAGTCAAACCCTGGACCAGACACTTACACCTGCTGGGTATGCCAGAGACGACTACACCAAGTCAAGTACAATGCTTGCAATGGGTGGAGTCTCCGTAGAGTCTGCTCAGGCCTACGGACACATCGTCAGTGGACCGCTTGCTTCAACAGAGCTGCCTGCACGGCAAACCCTAGTCCGCCTGAGCAGCTCAACACACACAACACAACACACCACAGCACAACAACCCAACACAATATACCGGACCACAAAAGCCCACACAACAGACACAACCGCACCACTACCCACACACCGCCGCCAATAACTCCTAGTTCCTCCTACAATATGTACGGTGTGGCATGCTCAGGTGTGCGCACCACGCGAGATTGGACGAGGAACTTCGAGGGTCCGTGTTGCGCTGGAATATTGATAGCTGCGGTCCAAGAGACGAAGCTGCACAGCAATTCAACAGTGTTGAATTGCGCCGGATACAATGTGCACCGTCGAGACCTCGAACGAGATAATGGTATTGGCCTAGCTTTCATCACGCACCACACCCTGCAGTTTCGTCCCATCGAAGTGGACATCGACCGCAGGGATATCATCCTAGAATGTCACGGCATTGCTATCCGGTCAGACCATGTGTATTAAACGTTCACTGCAAGCAATTCTTAGTAGGGAGCCACAAACGTGGTCACCCGCACGGACACTTGCTTGCAGAGACGAAGTCCATGTTATGAACTACCCTGGACTCGAAAGCATATCGACAGGCCCTGAGCGGCATTCACAGGGAGTCGGTCTCAAGTTACGTAGAATGCCGTTCTGGGAACACAACCACCGGCCGCTACAACAGCCAATGAATGGTGACAGTTTTATCATTCCATCCATAAATTCTTTTATATCAACTTTTTGTGTTCCATTTCTGGGTAAATTTTATAAGCCCAGTTATTTTTTATTTATTTCAGTTTATATTTCATAAATTAATTTTTAAAATACATACATATATTTCTGGGGTTGGGCTACTGGGCCGGCACCCTGAAATTGTGCATATGGAAACTGTGCATACGAAATAATGCATATGAAAAACCCGAAGTAATGCATACATGCACAGTTTCGGTTGAAAACCGAAATAATGCATATAACAAAAACCGAAATAATGCATGCATGCACAGTTTCGGTTGAAAACCGAAATAATGCATATAACAAAAACCGAAATAATGCATGCATGCACAGTTTCGGTTGAAAACCGAAATAATGCATATAACAAAAACCGAAATAATGCATGCATGCACAGTTTCGGTTGAAAACCGAAATAATGCATATAACAAAAACCGAAATAATGCATGCATGCACAGTTTCGGTTGAAAACCGAAATAATGCATATAACAAAAACCGAAATAATGCATGCATGCACAGTTTCGGTTGAAAACCGAAATAATGCATATAACAAAAACCGAAATAATGCATGCATGCACAGTTTCGGTTGAAAACCGAAATAATGCATATAACAAAAACCGAAATAATGCATGCATGCACAGTTTCGGTTGAAAACCGAAATAATGCATATAACAAAAACCGAAATAATGCATGCATGCACAGTTTCGGTTGAAAACCGAAATAATGCATATAACAAAAACCGAAATAATGCATGCATGCACAGTTTCGGTTGAAAACCGAAATAATGCATATAACAAAAACCGAAATAATGCATGCATGCACAGTTTCGGTTGAAAACCGAAATAATGCATATAACAAAAACCGAAATAATGCATGCATGCACAGTTTCGGTTGAAAACCGAAATAATGCATATAACAAAAACCGAAATAATGCATGCATGCACAGTTTCGGTTGAAAACCGAAATAATGCATATAACAAAAACCGAAATAATGCATGCATGCACAGTTTCGGTTGAAAACCGAAATAATGCATATAACAAAAACCGAAATAATGCATGCATGCACAGTTTCGGTTGAAAACCGAAATAATGCATATAACAAAAACCGAAATAATGCATGCATGCACAGTTTCGGTTGAAAACCGAAATAATGCATATAACAAAAACCGAAATAATGCATGCATGCACAGTTTCGGTTGAAAACCGAAATAATGCATATAACAAAAACCGAAATAATGCATGCATGCACAGTTTCGGTTGAAAACCGAAATAATGCATATAACAAAAACCGAAATAATGCATGCATGCACAGTTTCGGTTGAAAACCGAAATAATGCATATAACAAAAACCGAAATAATGCATGCATGCACAGTTTCGGTTGAAAACCGAAATAATGCATATAACAAAAACCGAAATAATGCATGCATGCACAGTTTCGGTTGAAAACCGAAATAATGCATATAACAAAAACCGAAATAATGCATGCATGCACAGTTTCGGTTGAAAACCGAAATAATGCATATAACAAAAACCGAAATAATGCATGCATGCACAGTTTCGGTTGAAAACCGAAATAATGCATATAACAAAAACCGAAATAATGCATGCATGCACAGTTTCGGTTGAAAACCGAAATAATGCATATAACAAAAACCGAAATAATGCATGCATGCACAGTTTCGGTTGAAAACCGAAATAATGCATATAACAAAAACCGAAATAATGCATGCATGCACAGTTTCGGTTGAAAACCGAAATAATGCATATAACAAAAACCGAAATAATGCATGCATGCACAGTTTCGGTTGAAAACCGAAATAATGCATATAACAAAAACCGAAATAATGCATGCATGCACAGTTTCGGTTGAAAACCGAAATAATGCATATAACAAAAACCGAAATAATGCATGCATGCACAGTTTCGGTTGAAAACCGAAATAATGCATATAACAAAAACCGAAATAATGCATGCATGCACAGTTTCGGTTGAAAACCGAAATAATGCATATAACAAAAACCGAAATAATGCATGCATGCACAGTTTCGGTTGAAACCGAAATAATGTCTAAATGCACAGTTTCCATATGCGCAATTTCGGTGCCCCTACTGGGCCATTTCGCTTCGCAAGATCTTTTACACTTTGTGCAGTAGGTTGTTTCTTGAGGGTGTCTATTAGCTGTTTAGTTGTATTTTGTTTGCTGCAGGCTAGAGCTGTGGTTATTATTTTCCAAACCTGACGTCCATTCATACATACATGCATACATATTTACGTACGTAACAACCCTGCAAACCAAAGTTCCCGAAATCTTAACGAAATTTTAAAGAAACTCGGAAATGTGTTTCGAATTCTGTAATGATTTCTTTACGAATTTTTAAAGAAAATCGTATGAAGGGGTTGACTCGAACTCGTAAAGAAATATCTGTAGGATTTTTTAACTAAAATTCTAAAAGATTTCTTTAGGAATATTTTGTTATTTTTCTGAATGAAAATTCTAAAGGATTTCTTTAAATATATTTTGTTCAATTTCTAAAGGAAAAATTTAAAAGATGTCTCTAAGAATATTTTTCCAGCATTCTGAAGAAAAGTTAGAATAGATTTCTTAAAAAATATTTTGCCAACCTTCTGAAAGAAATTAAACACGGAAATTTTTGGAAATTAATCGCTAAAGTTTATTTGGTTTATATACTATATGAAATGTATGAGAGAGGGATTTCCATTACTATCCGGGTGTTTGCGAGGGTAGCGACCAAATAATTACAAACTGCTCGTTTGCCTATGAGGCAGCTTAATGTTAGCTACAAAAGAATTCACAATAGTTTTCAAGGTTTAAGGTAAGTAAATGTACAATAAAGTGATAAATATAAATTTTAAGCGTTCAAAAGGTAAGTATTAAAAATTTTAGTAATCCTACAGTGTTACATATGATTTTCCTTAAATATCAGGCCTTTTAAAACTTGAATAATCGTAAAGTCCTTAACGGACGTGTTGCCCTTCAAGTTTGTCCATGAGAACTGCGTAACTAGGCTGTCGTCTCCAAAGACAGCTTTTAAATTTCCGGATATGAACTTTGCCATATCTGTATTTGAATGGCACAGGAACTTGTCGAACTGTAAATAATATAGATTGACTTATAATTACATACATTTAATTTTTAGCTATATGTATATGAACTAGCTCCTTCCGCATGTCATCATTTGATTTCAAGCTCCGCTCAAAATCAAATATTGCATCCTTCGTGGTCAATGGTAGTTGTGGTAATAGCGTTGTTCTCTGTTTTTTATTTTCCTGCAGGGAAATTTCTACTTTGTGTCTTAGACCTACGAACTCTTCTGTCATGAAGTCGCAGTCGGTTGTTTTCTTTTAATACTTCATCTAGCTTGTTATTAATTTCTGTAAAATTAAAGTGCTTATAAACATACACTATATACTGTGGTATTTTAGTTAATGATGAAATAGCAGCATTAATCGCAATATTGAACTTACCTTTTTGGCTTATTCTTATTTTTTTAAATTTCGGTTTTTATAAATAAACGCGTTTATAGCACAAAATCACAAAAAGATATATTTTTTTTTGGTGCTCCAGAATTTTTTTATATTTTCTATGTTGATTGTGACATTATTATAATTACATTATTGATTTTCTTCCGAAATTTCCTAAAAGAATCGAAGTGTGCACAGTACAAAAATTAGAAAATTCGGCAAAAAATCGGAAAGAAAACAATGGAATCTTTACGATTTTCTTTCACTATTTCGTAAAACAATCGAAGTGTGCACAGTTTATTTCATTTTAGAAAATTCGGCGAAAAATCGGAGGAGATCTTTACGAATTCTTTAAAATTTCTCTACAATTCAGAACACTCTGTAAAAATGGTTTGCAGGGTACTTGTATATAATTAAAGGTTTCACAAGACAACACAAGCGTGGTAATGTTTTAAAAGTCGTAAATTAAGGATATTCGTGAGATATAATATGAGCTAATTATGCACATATCGTCACCCTTATGCCAGAAGTATGAATGTGCAAGTTTATCAGTCTTGAGCAATTTGGATCTCATATAAAAATTTAGGAAATGTAAGTTAATTTCTTCAAGATGCATTGATAGGATCTAACCAGATTAGTATTGGACCACCGTTGAGGTAACACCTTTCCTTTAAACTATGGAAATCGGTTAACGTGCTCCAAAATTATGCGGTAAATACGTAAAAAAGTCGGTTAAAAATTCCCAGTGTGAAAATAGGTAAGTACCTTACGAGGGAATCCATGTTTTCTTTCAGTTTTTAGAAAATCGTCATCATGGCCAGTCATCTACTTGTAAATCACAAAATGAACACCTCCGACGGCGCATTACGTTGTCAGTTGCAAAATTACGTGCCGCCGAAGTTATTTCCAAGCGCCGAACTACTCCGAGCGACTGCTCTGCATTAAGCGTAACTTACTTTGTAAAGCCACTCAGAGGTATGTCTGATACAATTGTACATTCTAAATTCCTACTTACATATGTATGTATTACATATGTATGTATGTAAGGCGGCCACGCCCTTGTTAAAGTAAGGGAGATTCGCCAGTGTAGTGGTAAGGACCGCCAGGTGAATTTAAAGTTGCTGGTAAGGTATTGTACTTCACCTCGCGGTCCTTACCACTTCCCTGAAGAATCTTCCTTACTTTAAAAAAGTCGTGACCGCCTTATGGAAGTGGGAATTTAGAATGTACATTTGGTATCAGACATACTTCTGAAGGTAGAGCAGTTGCTCATAGTAGTTCAGCGCTTCGAAATAACTTCGGCGGCACGTAATTTTGCAACTGACAGCGTAATACGTCGTCGGAGGTGTTCATTTTGTGCTTTACTAGTAGATTACACTGGTCATGATGACAATTGTGGTACTAAAAACTGAAAGAAAACATGGATTACCTCGTAAGGCGCTTACCTAATTTCCCAGTGCGTTTTTATTTTTACACATTCTGGCATAGGGGCGACGATATACATATTGCTCATTCAATCTCAAATCACCCAGGCCGGGGGAAAGTGAATTTAAGTTTGCGATAAAACTCACAGGGATTGTTCCTTGAACAATTTAAGGAGACACGTATTTTTTCTTTTTGCTCAGAAATGCGAATTTTTCGAATAATGATTTTTTTTCTTTTTGAGTACGAACGCTTCTTTTTTCCTCTCTTAATAGCAACTTTTGATGAAATCGCTTATAAAAGCAAGGATTTTAACGTTTTTTTTTTTTTAATGGCAGATATTGATCTACTGAATCGATCTAGTGAACTAAACATCAGTAATTGTTTATTAATAATTAATTATTGTTTATAAACAAAAATTTTTTTTTTTCAAATTGATTTTTTTCAAATTGCCACATATTTTTTTTCTCTCAAACTTTTTTGTCCATTAGGGAATAGTATAAATTACTTTCAGTACGAGTAGCAATATGCTAAAATTCGTCGTTTTCGAGTTATGATTTTTTTTCTGAAAATGCACTTATATGAAGCTAGCAGATTTTCGTGCCAGTTGAGGACGCAAAAATTGTTGCCCATTATGATAAAGTTTCCTTGCTGGAATTTTTTTGAGGTTGCCCGATCAGAGCCAAAAGTTTTTCCCAATTGGGCTCTAATTTTGGCCCAATTAGCGATTTGCCCAATCTACCGAAGATTTCCCCAACCAGTGCTCACAATTTGCTCAAAGTGAACATGCATACGCAATTAAAACGTTTTTATCGATAAAATCACACATACACACATCAAAATTCCCTACGAAAAAAAAATATTTTTTAATTTTTTTTCTTGAAAAATTTTCCACATACAAATTTTTTTATAAAAAAAAATTTGTTTTTGAAAATATGCCATCTCAAAAAAAATGGAAAAAATCACAATGTTATGGGGTGCACTCTACAATAATTTGAGTTATGAATTTTTTTTACACCGAAGTTGAGTAAAATGAGTACATTACAATTAAAAAAAAAGTTAAATTTTGTTTAGAATTTTTTTGAGTATGCAATTTTGTAGCCCATTAAATTTGAGTATAACAAAGTGCAAGTGTTAAGCTACTGCAAAATTGCGTTGATTTTTAATATTGTTTATGCTCACGGCTTCTTGCAATTTATCCTTTTCAAAGAAAATTAAAAAAAAAAATTAACGGCAGTTTTGCAATCTCTTAAAACTTCCACTTTATTATACTAAAATTTAATGGTCATAAAACTGCATATTCAAAAAAATCCAAAAAAGTTTAAAAAATGTGTAAATTGGTAACTTAACTTCGGTGTAAAAAAAAAATTCATAACTCAAATTATTGTAGAGTGCACCCCATAACATTATACTTAAATATTGCGCAATACTCAGAGCTACCATTGTGATTTTTTCCAATTTTTTTTGAAATGGCATACTTTCAAAAACTATTTTCTTTTTATCAAAAAATTGTATGTGGAAAATTTTTCAAGAAAAAAATTAAAAAATATTTTTTTTCGTAGGGAACTTTGATGTGTGTTTTAATTGCGTATGCATGTTCACTTTGACTGGTTGGGGAAATCTTCGGTAGATTGGGCAAATCGCTAATTGGGCCCCAATTGGGCCAAAATTAGAACCCAATTGGGAAAAACTTTTGGCTCTGATCGGGCAACCTCAAAAAATTTCCAGCAAGGAAACTTTATCATAATGGGCAACAATTTTTGCGCCCTCAACTGGCACGAAAATCTGCTATAAGTGCATTTTCAGAAAAAAAATCATAACTCGAAAACGGCGAATTTTAGCATATTGCTACTCGTACTGAAAATAGTTTATACTATTCCCTAATAGACAAAAAAGTTTGAGAAAGATGTGGCAATTTGAAAAAAATCAATTTGAAAAAAAAAATTATTTTTTTGTTTATAAACAATAATTAATTATTAATAAACAATTACTGATTTTTAGTTCACTAGATCGATTCAGTAGATCAATATCTGCAATTTAAAAAAAAGTCGTTAAAATCCTTGCGTTTTTGCGGCAGTTATAAGCGATTTCGTCAAAAGTTGCTATTAAGAGAGGAAAAAAGAAACGTTCGTACTCAAAAAGAAAAAAATTCATTATTCGAAAAATTAACATTTCTGAGCAAAAAGAAAAAATACGTGTCTCCTTAAATTGTTCAAGGAACAATCCCTGTGAGTTTTATCGCAAACTTAAATTCACTTTCCCCCGGCCTGGGTGATTTGAGATGGAATGAGCCATATGCATATCTACACATGTATGTATATATTTTCCATCAATTTAAAACATTTTGGTGTAGTTACAATTGAAGCCTTGAGGGCCAGAGTAGCCGTAACCTAACTGATATTTCAAAAAGTTCAGGTGCACCTTAAAATGCATTACTAGAATCGAAACGGTAATAGCCCGAGGCACGCCCTTTTAGTTTTCTTTTACAATAATATGTAGCACATTTATTTACCGCATTTTATTAATAGATCCTTCTTTCTCACATTACTATTTTTTTTTTTGTTAGATAGGCTCCTCTGGCCCTCATGACCTGAATTTATTTGGAAAATTCGTCGAAACGCGTAAATGCCTCGTTAGCACGTAAACCTCGTAAACTTGCTTAATTTTGTATGGAAAACCGGTTTATTTACTAGGTTTACACAGTTACGAGGCATTTAGGCGTTTAGATGAATACCCTGATTATTTTGCAAAAAATATTTACGAATATGTACATATCGCTCATTTACTAAACGTAACTTAAAAACGGAATATTGACTTCTTACGCGTAAACTAAAAAAGATTTTAACAACACTAAAAAGATTTTAACACGAAATTTTTACACAATATGTATACAAGTAATTCTGCTGGTTTTTTGAGTTAAGACGACCTTTTAGTAAATTAGCGATATGTATCTGTTTTGGAGCATTGTATTTTGGTGGAAGTATCTACATACATACATATGTATGTATGTTCTACATATTCCATATGTATTCTAATTCTGATTAGTTATTCTAAATAGCGGGCTTACTTGCTGATATATTTTAGTAGACTCGAACTGCAATGGATTTTTTAGACTTGAAAAATGTCGACAATTTATCTGTTGAGCGTCATTACGCCGATTCAAAATAGACCCAGGTCCAGAGTTGAAAATTAGTGATGTAATGATTTTTTTGTTGCTATCAGCTGCGTGAAAGTAAGTATAAAATAGTTAGCTTTTCAAAATTGTAACATATTAATTAATTTTTAAACGAGTGTATGTACATATCGTTGATGAAATGTAGAAAAGCCCTAACTGAAATTTTGTTCGAAATCGGTTTTTTTGTATTCTTAAGAAGCTTATACTAAAACTCATCTTGCCTAAAAGATTTAGAACCGTAACTCAAAAACTAACGAACTTATGCTCCTTTTTAATTTAAGAAAACAAAAAGCTGAAGTACTTTTGCTATAAAAAAATTCAATTTGTATAAGTTTGGGAGGTTTTGCATTTGTAAATAATTTCTATATAGACTAGCATAATTCTTCACTATATTGAATTATAGTTTGTGTTCATAATTTGGTGTGAAAAATATCAAATAAATAAATAAAAACTAAGATGAATGGTAAGGAGTATACTGGCATATTTAAGACAAAGGTCGGGAATGACTTCTGTTAAAGACCATGCAGATTGTTAGGGGAAGCAAGTTCGTCGTACTTTTTTCTAAAAAATTACCGTAAATGTTTGATGGAAAGGCTCGAAAATAAATTTTTAATAATTCTCGGAGATGTCATGGGACCAGAAGAGGAAATACGTTCGCGGTATTATTGATTTTATTCCAAGGAAGCCACAGACATATGACAGTTACATAAATATTATATACTATCTCTTTCTTTTTTATTTAATAAACGTGCAAGTTCCGATACTAGCAAGTCAATATTCTTATTAAGTCTCGTCAAAAAATGTGCTGTCGTTTAAAGAATACTATACTAAAGCCAGCTTGCCGACATAAGCTACTATTCTATACGAACATACAATGATTTTTGATTGTATCCAAACTCGCAACCCGAATCAAAAAAATTTAACATACACGGTGTCTGGGAACAATAAAAAAGTCTGTCCGACATGTAGCTAAAAATTCGATGTGAGAATCTCTTCATAATGACTTTAGATGCTAGAAAATGGCCATCTTAAAATCCGATTGGTCATGATGAGGACTGTGGCAACCTCATCGAGCTCTAAAATCCCTCAACTTTTTTTGTCACCATTATGGAAGAGCGCATTTGTTGATCCAATCAGCCAATCAATCGCGATCGCTGGCCGTACATCTGCTCAGTTTTGTTATCCGAATAAAATCATTTTAAACGCAATAAATCAAAGTGTTGTAAACATAGAGTAAGTATTATAGTTAAATGCAACCATGAACTTTTGTAATAGAAATATTAGATTATGAAACCCTGGGGAGTCCTAATGGCTGCCCTAGTTGTCAAAAATAAAGATATGGCCGGCCTCTTTCCGTACGACCAGCAAAGTGAATAGACGTCACTAATTTGTGCTCCTTCAAATCCCTTTGCATCCAGTTAAGTATCACTGAAATTCGAGTTTTATAACATCAGGTGTGGAGCCGAAGTAATAAGCTATCCGGAAAAGAACTTATTAAGAAGAAATGGCAAACCCTCGCCAAGATCTCATCAATGTGCTGAGTGACGCTCATGTAGATTTTCGCCCGTCGGTACCCACTACGCAACTCCGTAATCTGTTGCGCAATTCCACTGCAGCAACCGGATTCGAACATTCGCTATCGCTAATTTTTCAAAAAAATCTCCAAAAGAATAGCGGCGCGCCTAACAACATGTAACATTTAGTTACATGGCCCTTAAACTGGCAGACTTGACTGATTGCACATTTCAGTTGTTACTTTTCCACGTTGAATGCTTTTAGGCTCCACTACTTTCCAATTCGAGAATTTTGACGAAATTTTGCGTTGCGACTGTCAGAATTCCACTGCAGGGTTGTGTTGTTTAGGTCAATACCTAAATATCTTCGTTGACTCATTTACCAGAACTATTGCGCGCTTTACTTTACAGCGACTTGGCAGAATCAATAGGTCTCCACGAATGTTCACAAACACAGCTATGCGGCATTTAAGGGAATTTCGTCTTTTTAGCCTACACTGAATTTCTGTAGGCCAACGATTCACACCCATTTTGTCTTGTCGCCGGCGAATGCAGAACAAACATTTCAAATTTAAAAAGTAAAAATTTCACTACTAAAAATTTAAAAATGTTCTTAAGACTAGCAAAGAATTTTGGAAAAAAATATCTCTGTTTTTGTTTTTAGGAATAGGGTGGGAGTGTCTTTGATAAAATTAGTGTGAGAGAAAGTTTTTCTTACAAAACGATTCATTATTGATTCATGATTATACACTATTACCACTGCCTTTTGTTAAGGAGACTTGAGTCGATTTCGGATATAGAAACGCTCATTAAAGAGTTGCACAACGCATTGCTAAAAGTGTGTTTGCATTGTTCAACTTTGCGTTCAACTCAGCGCAGGGTTGCACGAAAAAAAAATTTTAAGTTAAAAGTTAAAAGTTTTAAGTTTAGCAATCGCATTTTTGGCTAGTATATTTCAGGACGAATGGATAAGGCTTGAGGCAAGCGCTCGTGTAAGCAAATCCAATTTTTGCCAAAAAATGTCAGTGCGCGGTTTTGTGGAACGACGATACGCGGTTTTGTACTTTAAACGACGATATGTACATATAAGTATAAATATGTGGACATAATATTAGGGCAGCATTTAAATCAACAAATAAAATTTATTTATGTACGTACATAAGCATAGATAATTTAATACAATATTTTTTAAAGTTATATACATAAATATGTACATATGTACATAAAATGCATATTTATAAATGTACATATGTATGTATCAGAGCTGTACAACTGTGAAATCATATGAAATTAAAAATCATCAATTTTATGTTATTGGGCCGTATGAATAAAAAATAAGCAATTGCTTGCTCTTAAAATTTCAGACCTTTAACTCGATTTATTCAAACAAAATTGACGTAAAACGTATGCAATTTTAAGGAAAAGCAATTGCTTAGTTTTTATTCATATAACCCATTATGTTTTCATTGAATATTTCCTTGTTGAGGAATGTGGCTTATAATTTTCCAATTCTACATTCACTAAAAGTAGATACGATTGCACACATTCTCGAGCACCCCCCTGCCCCTACCTGGCTACGCCCATGTGTGCAGAAATTATTACATATGTACCTATATATTTACGTTAAAATAAGTAAAACAAATTTCAGCGCTGTGCTTCTAACTTTAAACCATATATGTAATACTCCTATATTGGCAGTAAGAGCTAGTACCGTCCGAAAACACTACAGTACAGATATATCAATAAACACGTACGAAAGAAAAGGAACACATACGTTTATAAATAAACATGTACACGACACATTTACAAAAATGGCACTCAAGTACACAATACATTGACAAAAACAGTACTAGACTGTCTCGCTTTGATTTCGGAATGCTTACACATTGATATGTTAGCTTACTATCAATATAGAAGTATTACATATATGCTTTAGACATATACATTTTATTTTTTAGTTACAAAAATTCTTAATACAAGTTTCTTCGTACTTTTTTCTTCGCTATTGAGTCAAGCAGTTAATAAGGATTCTAAAACCTGATTTGAACTTTTCCCAAAAAAAAATTACACCATTCGTTGGGCCCTATTTTCATTCGTTTTCTTGTCAACTTCAAAACTACATGTATTAATAAAAAAAAATTAAATATTCCGCCCTATGTTGAATATCGTCATTGTCAGTAAAAGTGACGATACGGCCATCGTCAGCCATGTTACTGATGCGCTGACGATCGTCGACGATGACGATGACGATATTCAGCATAGGGCCGATTGTTCGCTGTAACCTAATTCGGAAATTATTTATTTATGAGAATTTGCAATTTCAGAAATCACTTCCTTCCAATTTTGGGAATCAAACGGAACCCCACACACGCAAAAATCGTAGAGAATAGCAAGTCAGTAGCGCTAAATACCAAACAAAGTTATAATACTCTTTTCAACAGGTGCGCTCGGGTATATTTATTTCTTAAAACATTATTCTAAATCAGTGTGCAAACCCCTTTTTATTTTAGTGTGGTAGAATCGAAAAAAATGTGATAGCATCGAAAAAAAATGTGGTAGATTTGAATAAGATGTGGTATATTTTCCAATTCATATTTTTATTGGGTATACATATCGCACACCGTCATCAAAAGAGGCACAACTCAAAAATTAGATCGGAAAATATACACAAGTGCTAGTCGATCGTATAGATTCAACGCAATTGATGCAAAAAAAAATATTTTCATTCATTTGAGAAAAATCCTACAGATTGATTTATGCAAAAAAATCGACCAAAGTATTTTTGAAATATTAAAAGGTTAAGGTAAAGATGTATTTAAAGCAAAATTTATGATGTACATTTTTAAAAATGTATTAATTCATTTTTATATTTCGTATTAGAATTGAGTTGAAATTTTAGAGTTATGTGAAAACTGTAAACAAATGTTCTGTCTAAAAATGTGGTGGATTTTAAGCCTTGTGTGGTAGATGTGGAGACAACCAAATTTTAACAAATATGTGGTAGATCTACCACATATGTGGTAGAGGTTTGCACACTGTTCTAAATGTATGTTTTGAGCAAATTGATGTTAAAAGTTAGCAATATATCCCATGTCCATTTTCCAAAACTATAATAATAAACATGTCAGTTTGTTAGCAATTTGGTTCCTATAATTAAGGAAATATTGTAGTTTTTGCATTTTTCGAAATTACCGTTTTATGGGAGGGACCAGGTTAGCCGATTTTTGTATTTTCAGTACCCTGCTGCCCTAGATAAAGAAAAACCCGCGGACCGAATTTGGTTGAGATATCTCAACTTTTGCTAGAGTTATCGTGTACGCGAAAAATCGGACAGACAAACGGACATGGACTAATCAACTTCTCTTTTTATTCTGAACATTTTATGTACATATATACATATATATAAAGTACATACGAACATAAATGTATGTATTGCCAAAATCTCTATTTTAGCATTAATAAAATTTTAGTAAACATATTTTAAAATTTTTTTAGTGCCATTATGTCATCTGATTATTACGCAATGTAGCTAG